GTCCATCCATCAAATTGATGGATATTACATTCCTCACCCTTGGCAAAATGCCACTGTCCACTGGGGGGCAGGAATACAGTGAAAATACATAAGTACAGTTAAATGAAATATGTCTGATAATACTTTACCCTCATTGATGTTTACAGTAGTGAAAACTGCTATATTTTACCCCCAAAATAAAGCAGCTTACAGTAGGGAATGCTGCATTAAAACTTCTGCATCACATCTCATCACACAGTAGAAACCACCATCAATTTTATCAGAGAAAATATCGCTAACCTCAGATACTAAAAATAATTATTATTCTTTATGAAGAATATTCCACATTTTAGAGAAATTTAAGACTGGAAGAACCACTTACAGACATTACAGTCAATTATACTACATGATCTTGACTAATTTATAAATATTTGGTCAATATACTTGATAAATATAATAAAATTTAAATTAAGAAGATTATAATGATAAAGTAATAAAAGCTTTCATTCAGTTTTTTTACCCAACTACGTGGAAGTCCTTAAAAAGAGAAAAAGGACACTAAGCAAACAACAGTTTTGTGATATTTTGCATGAGAATGGAAGTGCCTGCCTGAAAAATGTTCTGTTGAAAAATCCTCCTGTTTTTTTTAAATGCATGTCACACACACTTTGTTGAATCGAGAGGTTGAGGAGAAGGTTCTAACCTGCACAGTTAACTTTGAAATTATGAAGCATCCTACTGTGAAGTACACTCAGCTGATTTTAGCAAAATCAGAAACAGTTTTAGCAAAAATAATCTTTGATTATGACCTTAAATTTCAAGAACTTTTTCTAAATAAGTCACTTCTGTGAATAGAAGTTGAAAACAAAAGACAAAATTTAATTTCTTAGTCTTACACAATTCTGTATAAATAAGACATGGTGGACACACAAAAATTGGGATTTACACATAAATATAGAGATATATAGCTTTCAAAGCAATTCTCAGTGTATATTTTAAAATTATTCACTTTTCTGTGGGACAGGTTTCCATTCCACCTCCATCTTCCTGTATCTTGCTAAATTGTCCAACTCAATAATCACAGGGAAGTACAGCTTGAGTCTAATGTACAGAAAATTGGAAAGGATTCTTTGAATGCATAGTGTTCTGCCTATACAAAAATCTGCACCTCCTGGGCAAGACTATAGATACAAGGCAAACTATGTGTTAGTACCACATGTTATAGTAAATTAGTTTTATCACTAACCTTTGGCCAATTCTTTTCTTAATCTCAAAATAGCATCAATGCCACAGTCAGCAGCAGCATAGGCATGAGGTATAGTAGTCTTAGACTCTGTTAATCTCTTAGCAATAACTCTTCGGACGTTGCTAGCAGGGATTTCTGTGAACGTGCCCTGAAAGAAATCATATGTTGTGTATTAAATATTGAGAGAGCAAGCATGCTTCCCCTTTGCTGAAACAGGCCTCAGCACTGATGAGTTATCATCAGTGACTACTGCTCACTTCAAAAATCCCTAGGTATCAAAAAGCAATACACTTCCAACTACTGAAATTAATATGATTAAGACCATTGAGTGTTCTAGTCTATTTTACTGCACTGTTCCATCTGCCAGACCTGGCATATCGCTCACAATATGTTCTGCTCCATTTAAATTGTAACCGAGTGTTTTCTGAGTAAGCTACTGCTTTTTCAGTTCCCTCAGTGGTTCCTTAGGACAGGCTTTACTGTGTATCTTTTCTGTTATTCTCCTCTCTCTTTCCAGATATATTCAGTAGTGTTTCAGTGTAGAAGCTCTCCCAACACCTTCATAGAAGCAAGTCAACTTTTAAAGAATCTCTTGAAATACAAATGACTACAGAAAGCAAGAAAATACGTGATTCTGTAAAATATTATTTTGTACACCTCATCTATAGCACGTAGGCTACAATCTGAGTAGTACTCAACACAAAAGAAATTACAATATGGATGTTCTGGTGCAACCACAGAATCATTTTTTTCTGTAATGGAAAAATATTTAAGTTTGAACTTTATATATTTTGTTTAGTTCTCTGTACAGTGCAAAAAAAAAAAAAAGGCAGCATTTTTTGAATATTATGAGGTGTAGCTACACTGTAAACTTAGACCTGTAAAGATACTTCAAATTTAGCTCTAGACCCAGAAATGTTTTTCCCTCCATTTTTCACAAAAGCTTTTCAATTGCTACTAATGTGGATTTAAGCATAGGCAATTACTCTTTCAAAAATTATTTCTGGCATCTCTAACATTTCACATGAACACAGAAACTGTATTTAGGTGCTAGAGTTCGCAAAATTACTCTTCAGAGCAACCATTAGGACCTTTCCCTCCTCGCTTCCTGACAACTCCATGGACATTTACCTGTACTTACATACCAGGAAACGAAAGAAAATGAAGTAGAGAAACTTGAATCCTGATTTATTTTTACTGTGAGTTTGGAAATACATAACGATATACTGATCCTGCAGGGAAAGGATGCACTGTTGATTTCCTAACTAGTGGCATCTTTTTGTTTGGGGACTGAAATAAAACTACTCTCTCTCTGACTCCCCCCTTTCCCAGGCCTGCAATGTAAAGTTTTTCATGGCTTTGATTTGCAAGTTACACAAAATGGTGTGCAAACCATAATTCTGAGAGCTCTGCAGTTTGAATTATACTGCTTTAGATTCACACAAGCACACTAAAACCGCACATGTCTGGGCTTGGCATGTGGGTGGCCTTAGCTTCCCTAGTATCTCCAGTTCTGGAACTCCCATAAAACTACTGAAGCAGTCATGGCAATATTTAGCAATAACAGTGTTAAGGACTTAACAGAACCCTTACCGGTGCAGCAGGTTGTCCTGGTGTTGAAACTGGTGGAACTGCTGGCCTTGGGTAAGCAGGAGGCACAGCTGTTGCTTGTGAAGGCACTGCAGTAGGCTGGGGAGGAGCTGGAGAAACCACAGGTTTCAATTCAGTGGGTTTGCCCTTCTGCTTCTCTTGCAGAAGTTTGAGAGCATCCCTGGTGATTAAACAGAGTGAAATACTAACAACGAAGAAATTATTTCAAAAATTCCCAAAGTATTACTACACCATCACTTATTTTCATTAGTTAGCCACTTCTGTCTGGGTTTTTTTAACCAATTTCACCAATTTTTAACCAATGCCACTTCCGTGCACTTAAATTTCTGTAGCCAAACCAAACATTAAGAACATGATTATTAACCAAACTTAATTCTATTGTCTCTTCTGTGATGTCTTTTCAGTAAATTCTCAATAACTTTTGTGAATAAAAGGGCTTGAATATGCAGTAATTAAAAACATTCATGTTAGAGAAGTATAACATTCATCCTCATTAATTGCACTAACAATTTTTCTAAAGATAGCAGAGTACACTTACTCAGGCTATAAAGTCTCAAGTAACAGCTATTTCATCCATAGAATCACAGAATGGTCTGGGTTGGAAGGGACCTCAAAGCTCATCTAGTCCCAGTCCCCTGCCACGGGCAGGGACACCTTCCACTAGACCAGGTTGCTCCAAGCCTCGTCCAACCTGGCCTTGAACACTGCCAGGGATGGGGCAGCCACAGCTTATTTGTGCCAGTGCCTCACCACCCTCACAGAGAAGAATTTTTCTCTGTACCCTTCTGATGAAGATGCACAAAAAGTGTAAATAGCATACAAGTCCATACTTCATAAGCAATTTGAAAGATAGCACCACCACAATAAATCAAGCCAAAAACTGAGTAACATCTAACAGACCCCGGTGTGATTGAACCTTGTCTAATCTAGACCTCTCTCAGGGTCTTTATACTGATATACCTACCACCACAAGACTTTCCTCTTGTTGGCATAGTATGACAGATGTAAGTAAACTCCCATCTTTAAGCTGTAATACTACATCCAGCCTAGGTGCATGGTATTTATAGAGTAACATGCTCAAGATTAGCACCTACAAGGCTAAAGAGAGAAGACTGCATTTACACCCCCTTTGCCAGATTTCGAGGGAAATTAGCTATAGTAAAATTTCTGCTTTGCAGTTTTAACTGCACCTATACTAGCAATTTGTTAGAAGAGCTATATTTGTCAGATCACCTCTCTGCTCTAGTTCTCATAACAAGTCTGTATCATACACCCAAGATAAAGAGAAACTCACCATGACCCAGCAGTGTGTGCTTGCAGCCCAGAAACCAATCATGTCCTGCGCTGCATCACCACCAGTGTGACCAGCAGGTTGAGGTTTCTCCTCCGCTCTGTTGAAACCTCACCTGAACTACTACATTCACCTCTAGGCCCCCAACACAAGAGAGACATGGAGTTGTTGGAGCAAGTCCAGAGGAGGCCTTGTAGATACTCCAAGGGCTGGAGCAGCTCTGCTCTGGAGACAGACTGAGAGAGCTGGGCTTGTTCAGCCTGGAGAAGAGAAGGCTCCAGGGAGACATTAAAGCAGCTTCCAGTGGGTAAAGGGGTCAACAAGAATCTGGAGGGGCTTTTGACAAGGGCATGTAGTGACAGGACAAGGGGGAATGGCTTTAACCTGACAGAGGGGAGATTGAGATGAGATATTTGAAAGAAATTATTCTCTGTGAGGGTGGTGAGGAAAATGACATTTCAAAGTCGCATCTTTTGCATGCAGGAAAGCAGCTTCGCAAAAAGATTTTCTTAGATAATTCTACAGCTACTGAAAAATCTTTGCTACATCTCCATGACAACTAGGGAATGGTAATGAGGTAGCTCAAAGTCCTAGAGGGTTTCCACCTGCCATAGCCTAGTAACACACCATAAATTACCACTACACTTACATAATTAAAACTCTGATAATTCGCTGTTACATAGTATATTGTATCTATTCAATTCCTTATTTTACCTCAACTCAGCCAAAGACCATAGGAAAAAGACTTTTGTAAAAAAAGCAGACTTCCATTGTCTGCTTCTCTGGGTTCAAGTCCAAGTTACACTGATGTGGTTGTCTTTGAAAAGAACTAAAATTACAGCAGCTAACAAGGTCTGTGTAGGTGAATGATGACATTTGTCAAAAGGAATAATTTTTCTGAGAACTAAAATAATATTCCTGCCAAATTCCTCACCTCCAATAGCATAATGTGAAGGTAATGTACCATTTTGATACTAAGGGCTCCGGACCTACCACAACACATTTTTATACACACGTTCCTCACTCCAATGGTTGAGTGCCAATCTTTACATCAGATCAGCCAAAAAGTTCACTAAACTACTAGAAACCTGATCTTAACAAACCACAGGTTGGTATACAAAAAGCTCTTTAAATCAGTGATGGGGGAAAAAAACAAAGGAGAAAAAAGAGAGCTCAGGATTTCTTACCATCACACTTCAATGCTCTCCCCAGCCTAATAAAAAAGGGAACAAGTTAAAACCTGACAGACTTCGTAACTGAACTACAGTGAAAGGAGATCTGAACTCCCCAAAGAAAAGAAGGCGAAGAAAACATGACACTGGTATTTTATTTTAGCTCTGAGTAGCAAAATGTGTGAGATCCACAATGGCAGCTAATGATGCCTAGGAGTTGATAGCCATCATTAGGCTGAGCTGCAAGAAATATAACAGCAGTACCATGCAGCTCAGACAGGATATAAAAACAAAAAAAGGTGTGTTTTTTTATTTTTAATCAAAGGCTTCGTACAGTAGTTCCTAACCTATTCTCCACATCTTCTCAACAGGTCTTTCAAATGTAAATAAGCCATTTCCCCTTAGAAAAAACTGGAACAAAATGTTGGCTTTTTCAAAAAATGGATGTTTCAAGTTCATGGAGATTGCTCTAGGGTCAAAGGAAAAAATAAGGGAAAATGTGGTTGTAGCATTACTGAAATAGCTACATACTCTTTAGTGAAGATTCCTCGAGGCCCAGTAGGTGTAAGATTGGTTGGATCTAGACCATGCGTCTCCAAAATGATGCGAGCTGCAGGACTTAGGCGAACCCTAAAGAAATGAGGAGAAAAATAAATTATTTAAACAATAAGATTAATTTAGTTCATTTAATGTGTATCGGGAGAAACTACAAAATATATCCTCTATTTCAGAAGCAACAGCCAGCAAAGAAAGAGTTCTCACCAAGGCTGCAATCCTAACACTGATGTTGGACTGTGCCCTTCACCAAGCTTTAATGCAAGGTTGAATTTAAAAACACAACAGTGACCTTAAAGAGATCAAAATAAAGAGTGGAGAACTCTTCTCCAAACTCTTACAGCAGTGATGCAATATTCTGGTGGATTCTTCTAGAAAAGGGTCATCAGTGAAGAACCAAATATATTTTAAGACAAGCTTGTTTTGGTAATATTAAAAAAATACATTTTAGGAGCTCAGTCAAGAGCGTTGCTCAGCTCTTATTTGTTTGACTAGCTGTAATTGCATCATCAATGCAGCTTAGTTCTAATTATAACATTACCTTTGCCCTAGCTTTAATTTTATTTTGTAGGATTGATGTAATGAAATGGCTACTTTTTTGGAAAGCAAAAGGCATACAGATGTAGTTGCATAATTCAGTGTCTGCTTTAGAAGACTAAATATCAAGCCTTCCCACACGCACACATTTTAATCAGCATATACCCGAATTATGCTACAGTACTAGTAAACCTGTATCTGCCATCTTGACCTAGATTGGTCAACAGTTAAACTTCTGCCTGGAAACAGAAATAGTGATCAGCTACAAAGCATAGGACATCGCTAGTGTGCCCTGTGCACCTCAGCATGATTTGCTCTCTGAAATGAGGGGAAAAAACATATATGTAGAAAAGATTTCAGAATTCTTAGATACAAAAGCAGCAACATTTTCATAAAAGTATTAGTACTTGGTTTCAAGATTTTCCATAAAATCTCAAACTCATTATTTCCTAAAGGAATATGCACCACATTGAGTTTTAAGAACTGTCCATAAGCCCATGCCAGAAAATACGTCTTAAACGATCAACTGATTTCAAAGATGCTGATACATTATTAACAGCTGCAGTGAAATAGAGGCACTTCTGATGTTCTTTTGCACTAAAATGCAAGGCACAATCCTTCCAAGGATCCTTTCTGTGAAGGATCCACTTAATAGAAGTAACATTTCAGCAATGACCCAGTTAGTTGTCTTCCACTTGCATGAGAAGAGCCTCAATGATGACAGCAAAGCAAACATAGCAAACCAGACAGAAAAGGTAATGAGGGTTGGAAGAAAATAAAAGTGAAACCAAAAAACCCATCCACAAACCAGAAACAAAAAAAACCCAAAACAACCAAACTCCAAACAAACAAAACTAAACAGTTTGCATAGCAGATGCTACCAAAATTAGTTTCCTATTCTTTTCTTTCATAGGTTGTAACTTTACAGCTTTTGATTTATCACAATTGACTCCAAACAAGGGGCAATACCTCCAAATAAAGTGCATCCTGCAACCCAAACCACTGATAGATTATTATTACCTGACTAACACTTTGGGTTTAATTTACTCCCACTTCTGAGATGTTTATAATGCTTCAGAGTACCCTAACTAATCAAGACAGAACTAATCAAAAACCTGCCAAGAAACAGGCTTGAGTTTTTTGCATTCCACTGCTATGAAAATAAGAAGATTTTTCTTGTATCAAAAGTGCAAGAACTTGGAAGGGTTTTAGGGTTTGCCATTTGTTTGGTTTTTCTCCTGAAAAAGAAACAGAAAACAAGCCATAGGTAAACTGAGCATTTGACGCATAAGCATTAGTGTCTATTGTATATGAAGATAACTTCTTCCTAATCTAAGCTTACAATCCTTCACGAAGCAATTGTATGTCAAAATAAAGACTCACCCATAAAAGGAGCTCTAGTAAAACTGCATTGTTCAAATTGACTTACTGGGCTTCCAAGCAGAGAAATACTCTTGGCAGGCAAGTGTTCACATACTGAAACACTCTCTTAAACTAAAAGTTTAATAGTGGGTAAAAAGGGATAAAGACTCTTCTTGGTTCAGCTCTACTGGTATAGATAAGAGTTCCATTTCACAACAAACATAGAAACTTACGACAATTTTCCAGGTTGATGTTCTAGCTTAGGAGGGGCTGAAACTGAAGGACCTGAAGGTGCTGGTGGAGCCGGAGAAGGTGGAACACCACCATCAGCTGGTATTTCAACTTCCTTCCAGTCCTGCCCTTCTTCTACCAGCAGACCAATTAGTGAGCCCAAGCGTACGTTTTTGCTTCCTTCTTGCACCTAAATTTAAGGCAAAGAGAATATTGTTACATACTGTGCTGTCTAGACTAATATGACTAAAAATGGCAGATAGGAAAATTTCAGGCATATTAACGACACTTCATCAAGGAAACAGAACCCATTTTATTCCTATTATCAAGAAGATGACTCATGACTGAAATGAATTACAGTTGCTATTATAAGGCAAGGAGTATTAACTTATGCCCCAAAATCCTACACATGGAAAGCTAGCAATCCTAAATCAAAGCAAGTCATAGACCACTGAGTATCTCCAAGAATAAAGTCACACGAGCTACTGAAAACAAATGTGGGTGCCTAATCTTTGCAAACAGAGCTTGAAAATTTTGCTGGACACTTTGCGCAGATGTACTTCGAGATACCTCCCCCTGTATCCAAGCAGTGTTACTTCTTAAAGGACGTAGAACCTTGTAAATTAAGACACTAATGGAACAAAGAGAGACCAAAACCCCACAACAGCAGTGCCCCATTACTTCTTTTTGAAAAAGAACATTCTTTTTCCACTAGCTTTCATCTCCAAGATTGCCTATTTTAACATAACTGGTGCCAAATAACAAGTCTGTCCACCAAGAAAGTGATAGTGCTTAGGTTGACATGTACATCACTAATCTCTTGATGCATTCTTCTCCATTAATATCCTGAAAAGCTTCATTTGAGAGAAGACAGTCTGAAGAGACCATCAAGACTTGACCATATTTTATTTTTACTGAGATGACTTTAAAGCACTTGAAATAACAGAATGCCAAGCAAGAGTCATGAACTGATTTGTCCAAGGCTGAAAGATCCGATCACAGAAATGTCCACTGATCAACACATTCGTAAAACTATGTGTAACTGCAATGTTACTACCACTCATAACCATATAAACCAGCAGCTTGAAGCCAGTACAAACACAACCTACCTAACCTAGCCACTGAAACACAAAAACTGGGAAAAACTAAAGAGAACAAAACTATAAACATACACAATATTGAGGTTGTTCATTCTAATAATTTTACAGCATTATCATACCTAGTACTGAACAACGTATTTTGAAAAACTGTTTATCAGCATAACACTCAGATGTTTGATCCATACCAAAGACGATGCAAAACCAGGTATCACAGAACCACAGAATGGTTTGGAGTGAAAGGAACCTTAATTCTTGTCTAGTTCCAAACCCCTGCCATGGGCAGGGACACCTTCCGCTAGACCAGGTTGCTCCAAGCCCTGTCCAACCTGGCCTTGAACACTGCCAGGGATGGGACATTCATCTGTCCCCCAAGTTCAAAATACTCCACATAACATATTAATATGCAGCTAACATTATTTTTTTTCCCAAATAAGAATAAAACAAGGGGTTTTTCATGTCTCCCTTTTCTTTAACACAGGCTTGCACATAAAACTGAGAACACTTATAAGCAGTCTACATGTTGCTACTGAATAGACCAAGAAGCACTGTAAACATGCTTGCGGTATCAAGTCCTCTTGGAAGACAGTTACCAACAACTCCTGGCAAGAACAACTGCTCCATACAACACGACAACAAGGTTTGACCATAGTCCCACCCACAGCACTTTGTTCAACAATAGTTCAGAAGTAACTCCTGGCAAGAACAACTGCTCCATACAACACGACAACAAGGTTTGACCATAGTCCCACCCACAGCACTTTGTTCAATAATAGTTCAGAAGTGTAAAGGTACCCTTATTTCCTATGTAACTGAGGATGAGAATTCAACACCACATCGTAGAGACATATCGATGGGTTTGTCCTCTTCACCCTCTCCAGAACTGAGGCCTTTTGGTAAGACTCGTGTACTCAGCGGTGTGGGGTGTTTTGAAATTAATCTTGTGATTACACTCATATTGTTAGTGCTATACAGCTATGTAGCTGTTGTGCAGTTACTGCATTTATCACGAGCAATCCAAAAGAACCGTGTATGTCACATATGAATAAACTGTATCATTTGTGAACCCAGCTGGCTCTTCTGAATGCAACTGGGCTTATAGTTAGTAGATTATTGTGCATCTGGTATCTGTCTATAGTTACATTTTCATTTTTGCCACAATTTGGGTGTCAGAGTTCTTTAATGGTGCTCTGAGAACACAGGCAGGAATCCAGCAAGGATGGTTGAGCCTTCAGGAACATAACACAACACTAACTAGTTTATAACCCAGCATTACATAAGCATTTAAAGGCATCAATGCTGTCAGCTGTCAATCTTCACAGCAAGCCAGTTGTGTTTTTATTCATGTTCACCACTCCAACACAGTTATGTGAAAACTCCAACATTCCTTATTTTCCAATACATTTCTAGCCTAGCTGACTGCAGAGTTTATACTTTTAAAGTGTAAGTATTAAAAAAACAAAAACAAACAAACAAACAAAACTACAAAAAACCCCCCAAAAACACACAGCCTTTGCAGCTCAGAACTAAACAAAGAAAAATTAGTATTACTTTGCTTGATTTCATTTTCTGGATTTTTGGGTCACTTCTACATTTTCATGATTCACAATACCAGAAAACTTCTCTGTGTATGTCTCAGTGAACCCCAGAATCTCAGACGTAGGAAGAGCTGAAGTAAGTAGCTTCACAGTGCTCTGTTGCTGTGTACCTGCGAGCAAAGATATCAAAAAGATCTAAACTTTGCTGACAAACCAACAAAGCACAGATGAGCCATGACAGGGAGAAAAAATTGGAAGAGATAAAGTGCACAGAGGGAAAGTTCCCTTGGAGCTGTTGCCACTGCAGCACAGTGCTGTAGTCACTAATACACATATATCAAAGTAAATGTTGATATTCTACACTGAGAAGAAAGGTGGCTGGAACTTACGCTGGCTCACTCTGCAGTGGAAGTTCTATACAAAACAGTTTCAGCTCATACCAATTCTCATTTAGGTCATGAATGAAAAAATGGATATTAACTCCAGATCTTCAACAAGCATTCATCATCTGGTTTTGGTCCAAATAGAATGAATAAGTACTTTAGGACATAAAGTCATTGTTAATTTAAGAAGCAGCTCTACTGAAAGAATGATCACCATTCTGAAATCACCCTTCTGATACTCTTAGCCATTAATTTTTGATTGCATTTTACACTGAATTAGAAGTGAGCATTAAAAGTGATCACATTCAGACAGAAAAGGAATATATGCATGAGTATCTATTTTACTTTTAGCCTGCTCACACCATATATACTTACATTATACAGTCAAGAAAACACATGAAGGGTTATAGAAGTTGAACTAATTTCATCTAATGAGCCTTGTATCTTTAGAGGTAAAACCCAAAGTGTTAGGCAGACACTGTGTTTAATTTGACTCACTTTTCCATGCTGAACTGAGTCAAGATGGTGCAGAATTGTAGCTGGCATCAAAGAACGTAAAATTTTTGCCTCATTTCTTTTAGAAAGGGAGTGAACTTCACACAGATGCTGGTAAATCAGATGGATCAAACATTCTTAATTTCCCATCAACCTTGAAAGGACAGTCTTCTCAGTAAGAAACCATCTCCCAGCTGAGGCAGCCTCACGTTACAAACCTGACACAAACACCTACTGAGCACCCAACATAGTGCAGAAATACCCACGGGATACTGCAGAAACACTACTAAGGACCATACCTGAGCTAGTTAAAAAAAAAAACCAAGCAGAAAACGCCTGATCTTACTGCTCCCCTATTATTTCAGTTTCCAAAACATGAGGTTTCTTCTATACTTTTTAGAAGACTGGAATAAAAGCCTATTTGGAAATCTATTCTGTACTCTAATACTACAGCCCACCATTTCTAGATTCCAAAAAGGGCATTACAAGAATCACAGAATCCATTAAAGACTGGGATTGCACAATAATCTGTTAATGTTACTCCACTAAAGCTGCTCCTCTTCCCTTAATCTGAAAGACATTATAGTTATTTTCCACATCCTGGCATATCCTTCTCAGACTCAGCTCTTGGCATATGATTGTTATTGGATGATGTAGACATCTTGAGTGTCACTGCTCCATGATACTGACACCACGTCATTGCTGGAGAGCCTGGTTTTAAACTATCAAAAACTGTGCCACAACAGCAATCCACACAAAGACATTTTGCAATTTGAAATGGATCTGGAATACACGGCAGGAAATAGGAAAAACACAGCTTCTAAAATACTAATGCTACATACAGTTATCATGAATTACCATTAAGGAAACTTGAAAAGTCTGGTATCATTTACTCAGTGTCTCCCTGGGAATCATTCTTTAATACTTTCAACAGAGACAATCCCCGTATCTCCTCTTTCACATAATGTAACAAAGTAGTGTCTGTAAATGCAGAATAGGTACTTCATATTAAAAAAAAATAAAATAAAGAGGTCACACAAGGTTTTTGTCAAGGTTATTAGGTCTAAAATAATTTTCAGAATCATTCAAAATCGAAGAGGAGAGGATTAAAAATAGTGAAAGCAGCATTATTCACGCAGCAATTACTAAAATAACTATATGAAAACTAAAAACTCATTTAAAACAATGTCTGATGTGACATTTTGTCCAGGATAGAGATTCTCTGAAACTTTTTAGATATGTTGCTCCACAGTTGAACACAACCTCAGAAGTTTTAAGGTGCTACAAAAAAATCTGAATATGTGAGAAAAATTACTATTTAGCAATGGTAAATTGAAAGAAGGAAAAGATTTTTTAAAAATTGTTTATATAAACTAGTGTTTAAAATGCAAATTATTCTGCAGAAATGAAACACTAATGACAACTTCTTGTAAGACCTGACAGATTTCACTTGCAGCTGAGTTCCATGTTGGAATCTTGGATCAACTCTCAGATCACCTCAGTCCCCTGAATTATTTTGATGCTTTCATTTTTGCACAAGATGTTCCCTTTGCTTATACAAAGAGGGATGACACCAAACAGACCATCACTTCTTAAACACGGGAAAACACTCTCCCTTTTTTTGGGAAGGGTAACTATGCAAATACATGCTGTTCTAAGAAAATGCAACCATGGCAGAGATGGACAACCTAACATACAAACCCAAACAGGTTTTGTAATGTATGTTTCACTATGCATACCATAGAATTTTCTCTTGCACGCTGATGGCTCCAGTAGTTTCAAGACACAAAGGATCCTTTGACAGAAAGATTACAAGCTAAATTAAGAGTCCTGGAACAACCAAACCTCATGTACTGCGTACCAAGACAGCCAAAGCCTCTGTCAAACACTCTTAAAGACAAAGTAACAGCACTAGTGTTCACTGTAACATGTCTACCAGTAAAAAAAGCTATGAAGCTGCATAGTGCTTCAAATACATTTCTTCAGTATCCTGTGGTTCAAATATTACAAAGTGCTTCATAACCTGTCTTGGAGACACTAGCTCATAGGTAGGACATTTAAGTGTGCTAAGAAGCTCTTTATATATCAGTATATGCATTAACCCTGAGAAACGTAATGCTGCAGACCTTGTTTTCCCACTTAGCTACGTATTTGCCTGCCCATCTAGATTTTATACAATTGTAATTGAGCAAGATATTTTACCTTAACCAAACTGCAAAGTCACTGCAAAATCTTATTTAAGATTATCCATGTTTATCTACCCAATTTCTAAAAGGGAAATAAATAAATAAAACCCAGTATTGCTGGAAGTGCTGGAGGATAGGTGACAGTTCAAGCCTTCACAGGATACATTAGGGAACTCCACAGATTTGAACAGTGCTTAGGGAAAAATCTTAGGAAAAAAAAAATACTGAAAAGAAAGGAAAATCCTTTCTCCATCCTTACACGCTATTAATAGCAACTTTCCACCCCTTCATTAAAGAAAATATATGCTAAAATACATTTCCCATTATACATATTTAATGGACAAGAAAAATACAGTCTCACTTAATTTTTAAGCATCAAACATAAGCTTGCAGAAAATGTAATATTTACGTTTACACAGAAGCAGCAACAAAATGCCACAGAGTTTTAGCTTCGCCCTTCTAAATTCTAATGAGAGTTAACACTGGGGCATTTTGAAATAAGAAACATTTTTTAAAAGTATTAGAAAAGAGGAGGAGGAGAAGGGACAAGACATAGAATTCTACTTGTGTGTTTAGAATACAGTATACAAAGCATAGCAAGCAGACCTTAAGCAAAGCAGGGTTAGAACTATGCCTTTAATCCTGACCCCTGTATTCCAGTTGTTATTGCTTCCACCTTAGTACAGAAAAGGATTTAAAGCCAAACATATAAGAAAAAAAATAACCAAACAAAAAACCTGATCAATATTTCTGTTGCATATACACGTACATGCAGATACTCCAAAATGATGTTCAGAGAACATTCACCCCAGCTCTCCTTGTTTAAATTAAGCCTAGTCAATATAATTTTAAGAATAAAGGAAATAAATAATCCTAAGAATCATCCTCTAGGTCAGCCCACCTTGTATAAAGTTTCATCATGAATAGCCAACACAAGATAATCTAGCACAGAGATCACACAGCTTGGGTAAAGTACCATCCAGAATTCCATATTCCAGCTACCTGATTGCAACTCGTTTTTCCATAACTCTGAGAAAGATGTCATGAACTGCAATATTTCCAGACATAATCAATAAGGTGAAAAACATAAAAAGCAACATAATTCAAATAGGGTCAGTTGAAAAAACTATTAATAGATACAGAATCACGTACCATGTACCAATAGTCTGGTACATGTACGAAATAAATAGAGCGATTATTTCTCATTAGGAATGCAAGTAAATACATAACTCTGAAAGCTGAGCAGCAGGCAATTGAGCTATCTAAACTAAGTTTTGAGGCAATTCACTGAATGACAGCCTGAAGAGAAGTGATATCATCCTTATCAGACAGGCAGAACTCCTACCACTATTTTAGCCAATATGCCATCATCACTTGACTCCATGGTGACCACTGCTTTGTCCGTTTCGATTTCACACAAGGCATCTCCAGCGCTCACTGTTTCACCTGCAAAACATAACAGAACTGAAGAATACTGAGCCTAAATTTCCTTTCAGATATATTTAACCACAGAAGATAGATACTTCTCCATATAACACAGCTATTTTACATTCTTTAATATATTCTATAGCTAGTTTATGTCACATAATTATTTACCATATTGTAACTTTCATTTCCAAATAATAACGCTAAGATTCATACTGCAGCAGAACATTAACGTGTTCCAAATACTGCTGTTAACAGTAGGTTTTCCAATAGATAGGACTGGAAAAAACACTTTGGCAGAACATATCTCTGCTCATCTGCTTTGTAATGAGAGAGCAGTATTTGCAACGAAGTTGCCTGAATGCAGCTCTCCAAGATTATATATAATGCCCTTGAAAAATCTTGGGCTGGATTTTTGGGGGAGGGAGGTTCGTTGGTTTTGTTTGGGGTTTTGTTTTGGTGGGGTTTTATGTTACTGGGTTTTTTCATTGTTTGTTTGGTTTGGTTTCTTTTTTCTCTTTCCAGTTACTAAGTTCTTACAGCTAGGCTGAATGACTAAGATCTCTGCTGAAGCTGCCCCATCCCTGGCAGTGCTCAAGGCCAGGCTGGTTGAGCAACATGGTCTAGTGGAAGGTGCCTCCTGGGTCGAGGGGAAGGTGCCCCAGCCTGTGGCAGGGGGTCAGAACGAGATGAGCTTTAAGGTCCCTTCCAACCCAAACCATTCTATGATTCTCTGTTCGATTACTGACAGACCAGTATCCAAACCACATGATACAAACTGTGTTCTTTGATGTACTTTGCAAATGAAATCAAAATTCAGAGAGCAGAGAGACTGAAGTCCCTGGAAGGGGATGTCTCAGAAGGCGGCAGAGTTACACTGCACGAAGAAACTGCTAGCACTATCGCCTATTCTGTTTCCTGCCCACAGTAACAAAAGGATTTCAGTCTCCTGGGCTATCAGTCTGACATCTTTCATGAACACTGAATTCATACATAATGAAAACAAGTTTTCAGAAATACAGTTTTAAGAGAACGACTTTATCCCCCAGAGGAATCTATATGAAACTGCATTAACAGTGAAAAGGAAAGAGTCAAGCTGTCAATTAAATTCATTTTTCCTTCTGCAGTACTGTCCACCCTGTGAAAGCATAAAAATGAAAACATTTTATGCTTACACAAAGAGCAGAAAAAATATCAAAATGGTATTCTTCTGACCCCTGCTGGTTAGACAGTGGGAAAACCATTTCCTATGCAATCAACAGCTTGCTTCTGTCAATTACTCTAAAATATTTGATAATCTCATATCCAAGAAAATAAATATTTATATTCAGTAATGCCACTACAATTAGATGGCCAACTCATTGGAAGATTCTGTAGTTATGAGCATCCCTTGCAGACAGGAGTATAAGCATTAAATCACTTTGCTATTTTCTTCAAAATTTAGCTTCACTTCTTTTAGAATATTCTTATTATGTTTATTTTCCAGACAGTCAGAGGGGAAAAAAAATCCATAGGAACTAATTATGGCCACCGGTGGTCCAAATAAGACAATATACTACCATCAGTTTTGAACTTGTTCCTAATTAGGAAGTAGAGCAATAAAAATCCTAAAGTCATTTTCTCTCAAAGTCCAACCATCAATTAAGATTTTATTTTAATTTAATTAAAATAAGCGTGGAGCTTTTTTTTTTCCTTTTGTGTTGGGGTAGAAGTAGTGGAAAGACTGAGAAAAAATATCGTACAGCTGCTGCAACTTAAGATCTTTTTATGATCCCCTCTCCTCCACTCTGGTGAGACCCCTTCCCTGCTAAGGCCCCTCCCTGCAGACAGACTGCCATATTGTTCCTAGTAAATTCTGCAAAAATTCTTACTAGAAGTTTTACAAGCAAAAGGTCATGTCCACTACTGGAGCAACAAGTTGCCTTCAAGCCACCTCTCCAAATGTATTAAAAAATGTGTAAAAGCAAGTACTCCTTGTAACACAACGATGGAGGCTGGATCAACACTTAGAGGAAATGGCTTACCAAGGCAGAACAGTGAAAACACGTTTAGCTCACCAAATGGTGTCTGTCAAAAATAATTTGCTTTAAGGGATTTTTCTTTTCTCCAAACGTGTCCAGCATTTTAGACATCTAAAACTGTCTGAGAATAAGATATATACCAATGGACAACCGCTACTTGGAATCCAGAAGTAGAGTCAAAATCCAGTTTTAATGGTAACTGGAGAGGGGGAACAGTAGGAGGAGAGAGGGGAGAAAGGTCTCCTGACAGGACAGGGATCACCGATTCTTCTGCAGATCATTTTTACTTATATACAACCGATGTGAAGACAAAACATACACCCAGACTACTTATCTAGCTGCTCCAACATATTTTAACACAAGTACACTACTTTTCAGTTGTCAGAGCAGAGAGAACTCAAGAGAAACAAGACTGCTAGTGCTTTTTGTGAAAAGTAGTTTGGGTTTTGATTTGGGGTTGCTTTTTTTCATTTTTGGAAAGAGATTTCCCCATTTGGAATTTGAATTATTAAAGTAATTTAATTTTTTTAATCAGTTTTAATTGTAGACTGTAATTTAGAGATGAAAAAGTAAGCTCTGAATAGTAACTACAGAAATGCCGTATGTTTCACATTATTTTGTAACACAGAGGCATAATGAAACAGAGACCCTCTGCAAAGTCAAAGGCTCTCAAACTTCCAAAGTTCGGCATGACAACACTGGGAATTAAAAACAACATACACAATCTCACACCCTGGAACAACCTAATGAAATGTTTCAAAAATATGCACAAATGCAACCTTTTGAAAGAAAATGAAAGGGGAAAATGTTACATTAACTAAGAATTTCAAAGTAGGCATTGTTCAAGAACGCAGCATCCACATACCAAACATATTGCTTCAATATACTACCATCCACCCAGAAAGAACAGGCCAAGAAAGTTGGAGCTGTTCAGCCTGGAGAAGAGAAGCTGCAAGGAGACCTCATAGCAGCCTTCCAGTATCTGAAGGGAGCCTGTAAGGATACTGGAGAGAGACACTACACCAGGGACTGTAGTGATAGGACAAGAGGTAATGGGTTCAAACTTAAACAGGGGAAGTTTAGATCAGATATAAGGAAGAAGTTCCTTACTGTGAGGGTGGTGAGGCACTGGAATGGGTTGCCCAAGGAAGTTGTGAATGCTCCATCCCTGGCAGTGTTCAAGACCAAGCTGAATGAAGCCTTGGGTGACATGGTTTAGTGTGTGGTGTCCCTTCCCATGGCAGGGGGGTTGTAACTAGATGATCTTAAGGTCCTTTCCTACCCTAACTGTTCTATGATTTATATAGCTGAAGAGTGACAACAAATGTGGCCATGAAAATGCTATCTTACCTTCCTTTTTTAACCATTTCACAATGCTTCCTTCTTCCATCGTAGGAGACAGCGCAGGCATAAGGACTTTAATACCAGGTACACCTGTAAAACAAGCACGATTATCTAGACTAAATACTTTTTCAGTATAATTATGTTCTCAGTTGACTGCTTAACACAAATGAAACTAACAGTGCATGAATCTGAAAGACACTTGAACAAATGATTCACTATGATGGTCTTATTTTACACGTGCTCAAGAGCACCAAAGAAGACAAGACACCCAGTATAGAACCTGCATGTTACACAGCGCACAAGGCCAACTTCAGTATGCTGTCATAAATAATACAAAATATTAAGCAAATTAAACTGTCGTAAGTAAAAATATGATATATAAACTTTGGCTCTGCTGAAGATGACTTCAGATACTTACCTGCTTAAGCTTTGCTTCAATTTTTAATGGAAACTCTCTCCACGACCAAGTTTTTGTACATTATTAAAAATACACAAACCAGTGCTTCCAAGTACCCCTCAGTTCAGCCTGACCTACTGAACCATTCTTCACAGATGCAAGAGTGAAACAAGGTTACTTGGTCAACAGAGATGTAACCAGAAAAAAGCCACAGCTTAGCTTGTGTGTAGTTGGAGCCTATTGTGCGTAGAATGAAAAAGCAGCTATAATATACAAACATTAAAAAAATAAAACAAACAAACAAGCCAGCAGCTATTTGAAGCTGTGATTACTTTACAGTATATGATTCTATGACCTGTCCTCTCATTTCCTGCTTGTCAGGAAAGGAAGGCTGAACATAAGCCCAGAGGAGAGAACACACACACATACCTCAGTCCTCAAGAGAGGACAAAACTGCTATACTCAAGAGAAATTGGGTTAGAGGTATTGATATGTTCCCTGCTGACGAACTGTGATGTGCTACAGAGGACAGTGTAACTAACTGTGCTCACAAATTCCTCTGTGGTATCTACCATAGTTTTTCTTCCTAGTTATGCAGCATGCCAGCAGTACGGTTATAAATGTACCAGCCAGGCAAGCATCTTCTGTCTCAGAGGACTTCTCCATCTTCAGGCTTCTAGTCATGGGCTTGCAAGTGTGAAGACAGAATGGGGTGTAACTGTGCAGAACATATCTAGCCACTTGTTACAATCCTTTCTGACTCTTAACCAAGGGCTAGATACTGATGCCCTGATTATGACCTGTCTCAATGCTAAACTACAACATTAAGAGCACACCAAGGCAAAGCACGTAATCCCATTCCTCCAAAAATCAAACACTAAAAAAAAGAAATGAGAATTCAGAGTCCTGAATTCCTCGACTATAGGTTCTGTTGGTCTTATTAAAATCCACCACAAACACTACATACTCCTCTCTCCTCCTCTCAGCCATGGGCTGTTGAATTTTTTTCAGGATTAAGGCATATCTTTGAAATTAATAAAGCCCCCCTGATCCTAGTACTCCAAAAGCTGATCATCCACCTCTTTCGCTGATGAACTTTTCCCACATGTACTTATTCTTTCTGCTGGGAAACCGTATTTATTTTGCAGGCTGAAATTGACCAATTTCAAGTTTCAGTGATTGGATCTTATGTCTCTGTTACAAAGTTTGAAAGAGCCCTCATTATAGAGTCCTCCTTGTGAGTGTCTATATACAGAGACAAGGTCAATTCTTAGCCTTTTCTTTCCTTTGACGAACCAAATAAAAAGATCTGAGAAGTTCAGTGTAGGTAAGCAACACACCATCACAACTTCTCAGGCCCTGCAGCACCACATACTAGGCCCAGGCAGGCAGCAGATCACTTCAATCTGCCAGCTAATTGAATCTATTTAGTAAACCCAGACCTGGAGAAGTGGCACTACTCAGCAGCAAGACCCATGCCATGGCAGGAGGATTCTTCCAAGGACAGGGCTTATGATACAGCCCATGCCTTGGCCAAGCACACTATATATCTTGTCATTTGATCTGGTATACCAAAGTAGCATTCTATCATACAACTCATAATACAAGAGATACCACCTTTCTGAGCTTTTAAGGGTTCTGAGGTCAAATAAATGTATCTTTTTAGATATTGTTTTGTACAAGTAGTTTCCCAGAACCTGAGAGATTTTTGAGGCTCTTTCTTAAGCTAATCTATCTGAATCTGTATTCAGTTAGAGAACAGAAGCAGACACATAGAAAGTACATTGTATACAACAGCAAGAATCAATTCTGCTTCTCTGATAGCCAGCAGTAAAGCTTATTACCATTCAACAGGAAACATCACCACATTTCTACCAGTTGCTGTATTGCTTAGAGTAAGCAGCTTTGAAAACTCAAAAAGTAACCCCTTCCCTCTCTCCCCATTATCCAGAAGAAAAAGAGCAAGGAAAGAACCTAGAAGAATTTTGAGCTGCAAAGCACATGTCACCTGGAGTGAAAGTGCTTCTCATCCTTACTTCCAAGTCCTAACAGTCACCATGGTGAACACCTCAGAGAAGACAAAGACAGTACTGAAACTTCAGTTAATGCACAATGCTTTAAGGGAATTAACTGTCCACCCATGTTCTGTAATTCATTAATGTTAATACATACAATAAAACTGACCTTGTCTGTCACATTGCTACAGGATTACGAAGGAATAAATCATTACATTTGTAGAAGACTACAGATATTCAACCATATTTCAGAGATAAGGTAACGTTAAAGACATTACACATTTTTTCCATTACTTCCATTGTTATTTAATCTCTCTTCCCTCACCTCTCTAGTGGATGAACCTCAAGGCCCATCCTTGGTGCAAAGTCCCTCCCAATGTAAGAGATCAGGATCGTGACCACCTGAGGACCCTGAACATCCATAACTCTATGGGTCCTGACAAGATGCATCCCAGAGTCCTGAGGGAATTGGCTGATGTAGTTCCCGAGCCACTGTCCATGATATTTGAAAAGTCATGGCAGTCAGGTGAAGTCCCTGGTGGCTGGAAAAAGGGAAACATTGCAGCCCTTTTTAGAGAAGGTGGAAAGGAGGGTCCTGGGAACTACTGACCTGTCAGCCTCACCCCTGTGCCTGGGAAGATCATGGAACTGATCCTCCTAGGAACTCTGCTATGACACATGGGGGACAGGGAGGTGATTGGAGACAGCCAGCATGGCTTCATGAAGGGCAAGTCCTGCCTGACCAGCCTAGTGGCCTTTCTGTGATGGAGTGACTGCATCAGTGGACAGAGGAAGAGCTATGGATGCCATCTATCTGGACTTCTGTAAGGCCTTTGACATGGTCCCCCATAACATTCTTCTCTATAAATTGGAGAGAGACAGAGTGTATAGGAGGAGTATTCAGTGGATGAGGAACTAGTTGGCTGGTCACATCCGGAGGGCAGGGTTAAACAGCGCAATGTCCACATGGAGACTGGATGAGTGGTGTCCCTCAGGGATCTGTATGGGGACCAATACATCTAATACCTTCATCAACAACATACACGGTGGGATTGACTGCCACTTCAGGAAGTCTGCAGACAACAGCAAGCTGAGAGTTGAAACTGACCTGCAACTGAGGGACAGGTTGCCATTCAGAGAGACCTGGACAGGCTGGAGAGGTGGGCCCATGTGAACCTCATGAGGTTCAGCAAGGCGAACCGCAAGGTGACCTGCACGCGAGTTGTTGGGGCAACCCCTGGTACCAGCACAGGCCGGGGTGAAGGGATTGAGAGCAAACCTGAGGTCAAGGACTTCATACTGGCGGATGAAGAGCTGGACGTTAGCCAGCAACGTGTACTCAAAGTCCAAAAGGCTACCTCCCTGGCAGCACCGGGCACCCCCACCTCTGTCACCTCGCACACAGCCTTTACTTCTCCCCAGCACCACCTACCCTCACCCCTCACTTAACATTTCCACACGCACCCCT